CCAGCTTTCCAGACACGTAGAGTACCCACGTACGGATATGTGAAGGTTTTGGCGGGAAAATCGCTAACTCGGTAATCAGAAAAGCTGGAAAGCTGAAATTTTGAGAGAATGTTCCCTGTCCAAGTACAGTTTACGTATTTCAGATTCAGCTTGAGGCACACGTTGTTCTTACGTACGAGCACTTAAAAATCTTGGCGAAAAAATTTCTTACTGAACAACTTGGTTACTTTTAAAGAACGACTGTTAAATGGAAATTATACATTACTTTGCAAAATTAATGATGATTTATGCTAATGACCGCATCAGGCAAGTGTAAAGCAAAGCCATTCGTGCAGTTAATGACCTGAGTACTTCAAGTCCGGTGCAAAAACGCATGATCGTACGGGCCCGCCCGGTGCGTTTCAGCCCGGGTTGCAATTTGTATGTAGGCAAAAACGCATAACAACTAAGGAAATACGTGAGCCAGGAAATTGAAATTTCGAGAAAGACGGTGCTCCTTAACTTTCAGATCGCTATGTCGTCTGTCCGGCCGTCCTGGCCTCGGTCAATTTTATCGAAAACAAACAGAACTTTGAATTTGAAGTTTTGTTTTTTCATTATATAAGGTGAGAAAAAGGGTCTGAAATCTTTTGTCAAACTACTTATTGTATAAAATCCATATTGAAGTAATTTTACAATTTTAATATGAGGAAAGTCAGGAACTCAGAATCTGATGCTTAAGTACAACGTGTAAGGTGAATTAAATAATAATTGGCCAGCGCACCGACTGTCGGTATAAAGATGCGTTTTCTTTTTTCACAGTTCCCAGCAGGTTTTGTCGCTAACAGCACTGTTTTTTCGGTCATGCTTCTAGCTGTACGAACTGATACTGAACACCACGACTGCCAGAAAACATTCCTTTAAAATTAAAGCTTTCTAGGTTCTCTGGTTTCCGAGTTAGCAGCTTATCCGCCAGAAACTCACATAAGCCCATACGTGAAAACCACATGGGCAAGAGCGTCCATTTTGGAAAAAGGGGCCCGTGAACGCGTGTATATAAGTTGTCAAAGCTCCAGCCTTGCAGCTTCCGTAGGTCTCGAGATGAAAAATCAGTGCAGATGAACGCATAAACACATACAACCCCTCGACAGTACGCGTTTTTGTATTGCATAGACACAAATAATTGGCCAGCGCACCGACTGCCGGTGCGAAGATACGTTTTTGCAGG